AGAAAATTCTTAAGCCCTTGGAAGTCCTCTCCACCACTCCTAAATGAAGAGATCTGTTAGGGGCATATTGTAATTTCACTGCACACCATATCATCAGATTCTGCGCCAAAAGTATGTGCGTATCTCCACAGCATCATAATCAGTAACAGTTGAAATTACACCTATTGCTATTAGTATCCTCACAGGTGATGTTTATTCAATGTGTTAACTTACTATTCCACAAATTATAATGGTACTAATAATTTTGAAGTTTAAAATAGGCTACAATCTGCTCTGAAATGGAAGTGAATATAACATTACATTTACATTTTAGTCATTTAGCAGACGCTCTTATCCAGAGCGACTTACAGAAGCAATTAGGGTTAAGTGCCTTGCTCAAGGGCACATCGACAGATTTTTCACCTAGTCGGCTCGGAGATTAGAACCAGCAACCTTTCGGTTATTGGCACAATGCTCTTAACCACTAAGCCACCTGCCGCCCATAACATGATTTATTGGGGAACAATTTGTAGTTTTGGTCAAAAGTAAATGCTTCAAAAATACAGTGAGGGAAAAAAGTATTTCATCCCCTGCTGATTTTGTTTGCCCACTGACAAAGACATGATCAGTCTATAATTTTAATGGTAGGTTTATTTGAACAGTGAGAGACAGAAAACAACAACATAATCCAGAGAAACGCATGTCAAAAATGTTATAAACTGATTTGCATTTTAATGAGGGAAATAAGTATTTGACCCCTCTGCAAAACATGACTTAGTACTTGGTGGCAAAACCCTTGTTGGCAATCACAGAGGTCAGACGTTTCTTGTAGTTGGCCACCAGGTTTGCACACATCTCAGGAGGGATTTTGTCCCACTCCTCTTTGCAGATCTTCTCCAAGTCATTAAGGTTTCGAGGCTGACGTTTGGCAACTCGAACCTTCAGCTCCCTCCACAGATTTTCTATGGGATTAAGGTCTGGAGAATGGCTAGGCCACTCCAGGACCTTAATGTGCTTCTTCTTGAGCCACTCCTTTGTGGCCTTGGCCGTGTGTTTTGGGTCATTGTCATGCTGGAATACCCATCCACGACCCATTTTCAATGCCCTGGCTGAGGGAAGGAGGTTCTCAACCAAGATTTGACGGTACATGACCCCGTCCATCGTCCCTTTGATGCGGTGAAGTTGTCCTGTCCCCTTAGCAGAAAAACACCCCCAAAGCATAATGTTTCCACCTCCATGTTTGACGGTGGGGATGGTGTTCTTGGGGTCATAGGCAGCATTCCTCCTCCTCCAAACACGGCGAGTTAAGTTGATGCCAAAGAGCTCGATTTTGGTCTCATCTGACCACAACACTTTCACCCAGTTCTCCTCTAAATCATTCAGATGTTCATTGGCAAACTTAAGACGGGCATGTATATGTGCTTTCTTGAGCAGGGGGACCTTGCAGGCGCTGCAGGATTTCAGTCCTTCACGGAGTAGTGTGTTACCAATTGTTTTCTTGGTGACTATGGTCCCAGCTGCCTTGAGATCATTGACAAGATACTCCCGTGTAGTTCTGGGCTGATTCCTCACCGTTCTCATGATCATTGCAACTCCACGAGGTGAGCTCTTGCATGGAGCCCCAGGCCGAGGGAGATTGACAGTTATTTTGTGTTTCTTCCATTTGCGAATAATCGCACCAACCATCCCCACCGTCAAACATGGAGGTGGAAACATTATGCTTTGGGGGTGTTTTTCTGCTAAGGGGACAGGACAACTTCACCGCATCAAAGGGACGATGAACGGGGTCATGTACCGTCAAATCTTGGGTGAGAACCTCCTTCCCTCAGCCAGGGCATTGAAAATGGGTCGTGGATAGGTATTCAAGCATGACAATGACCCAAAACACACGGCCAAGGCCACAAAGGAGTGGCTCAAGAAGAAGCACATTAAGGTCCTGGAGTGGCCTAGCCAGTCTCCAGACCTTAATCCCATAGAAAATATGTGGAGGGAGCTGAAGGTTCGAGTTGCCAAACGTCAGCCTCGAAACCTTAATGACTTGGAGAAGATCTGCAAAGAGTGGGACAAAATCCCTCCTGAGATGTGTGCAAACCTGGTGGCCAACTACAAGAAACGTCTGACCTCTGTGATTGCCAACAAGGGTTTTGCCACCAAGTACTAAGTCATGTTTTGCAGAGGGGTCAAATACTTATTTCCCTCATTAAAATGCAAATCAATTTATAACATTTTTGACATGCGTTTTTCTGGATTTTTTTGTTGTTATTCTGTCTCTCACTGTTCAAATAAACCTACCATTAAAATTATAGACTGATCATTTCTTTGTCAGTGGGCAAACGTACAAAATCAGCAGGGGATCAAATACTTTTTTCCCCTCACTGTATTGGCACATCATTGATGCAGCACCACGATTCAGCACTACGGACAACATTCACTAAATAAAATAAGATTGATTGATAACCGTAAGACTTGTAAGAAATCTTTATACTATTTGATAATCCTTTCTTTAATTTACTTTAATTATAATCGATATACAAGACTATAGTTCTTTAAATAATTGAATGGAAGACACAGATGCCTCCATTAATCAAAATCCCAAAGTGTGTTTCATGATTGAAAAAAAAGCAACAAAGCACATTGCATTTGGTTATAGGCCTACTGTAATTCATATTGATACTTACTTTTCATTTGTGAAATTTCACTTCAGACACTTTCCAGCCGTTGCACTAGGCCACTGGGAATACACATGTTGGGAAGTTTGTGGCAAACGTGCACAAAGTGAGAACATGCCCCTTAAACGTTTAAGTTTGTGAATTACTTTCAGAAAATGTATTACACTAATGGGGAAAATGACAGAATTCTGATAACTTTGCCACTTAGGAGCAATTCTTATCATTAGGCTGCTTTGTGAATATACGGCCTTAGACTTGTAGGCTCACCACAGTGCATGACTTACTATCAGTCCTCAAAGGACTTGGGACCTGTAGTTTTCCATTTACTCTCAAATAACACCCCCATCATCACTACATCTACCACATCACACTATGTTAAACAATTAAGATCAGTTTTATTATTTATTTTTTAATCAAAGTTATATATCTTCATAATAAATACTTTCTGTGCTGTTGTGCCCTCTATCAGTATAAATAGCAAAATATAATGTCACATTTCCTACACCTAAATGTAGATTTCCCCCTTAATTCTTCATTCTAATCAAAGCATCTTAACAATAACTGTATTTTTAAAGAAATAATCCACACACACAAAAAAAAAAAAACACAGTTGAGGAGAATTCTTCTTCAAATAAAACATTTTAAAACAAATCTGGATTCACAAAATAATAAAAAATAATAATGTAAAAATAGGAGGATTGTGATTAACTGTGTCCTAGGGCCATAGCTGCTAAAGTCACACAAAATGTCAGCTACTGATGTGAGGTGAATATCGGACACAAGTGCTAGCAAAATAAGCTGATATTATTTCCTTCCCCTCCTTCATTGCCGTGGCGATGACTTGTGTCTCTGCCATCGTCGAATATTCATTTTAAATTCCACGCAGTGTCGACGTGAACACATGCCCTTGTTTATTTCATTTCCTTTGCATTTTCTAAAATAAAAAAACATTAAATATACAAACCGTCAATTTTTTGAGCCCAAAAATGTTTCTTAAACTTTGTAGTGTACATTCAGGAACATTCATATTGAAAGTAAAAAAAAACTAAAAACTATAACAAAAAAATCGTTTTAATTGGCTATAATTATGAACAATATAAATTACCATTACAGTTGATCATTTTTTACAAAGTATGTTGTGAATCTAGCAGTCCAATATCCCTGCCAAAGTGGTGTGTTCTCATAATTTCTCCTTTGATGGGATCCAGATGTAAGGTCCCGAATGCTCCTCTATCACCATTTTGCAGTGGTTATAAATGTCTTCTAAGGTGTCTCCTTGAACAAGGGCTGCAAAACAAGGGGATACATTCAGTACGGAAGATCTAACCATTTATAAATTATTTTCTAATAGAAGGAAATATTTTTTTGTCATGTACATACTGTTAGTGATAATAATAAATTGCACCCATAGAACACATTATGGTCCCACAGGTTAGGTTGAAAAAGTCACACATTCTGCTAAACCCTGCTCTTTTTGTTTTTACTGGGTGAATTAGTTCCAATAGTTCCTAACCATACAGCAAATGAGGGTGTAATTTGTCACCATTAAAGGTGAATGAAGGGCATTATCCAGGCAGGCTTGTAATGCTCATTCACATGCAAAGAATTACAGTATGGATCTGTTTTATCATTGAAATGATGAACATCAATAATGTTCATAATTCCCTCTAATTGTAGGCTCTCCATGTAGGTCAATTTTTTTGGTGTAATCCACAGAGGGTTGAGAAATGAGCCCCCAGAACTGTATACATCAACAAGGGTTGCACTGAAATTGACAGAGAAGTAAGACTACAACTTTCACATCTCTTTTGTCAAAAAATAGGAACATTGTGCATCTTTACTCATGGATACTGTACCTGTGAAAAACTCGCCAAACTCCTGTTCCAGCTTCATGGCCCGGTCAAATGTCTTCCTGGCCTGCTCTTCTGTTAATCTCTTATTCATCTCCCTGAGAACAGAGATTTGTTGTGAGGCATCAGACACCATGGGGCGGTTTCCCGGACACCTATTATGCCTAGTCATGGACTACAAAGCAAGCTCAATGCAGAATCTCCATTGAAAGTCTAGGACTAGGCTTAAATCTGCGTCCGGGTAACCCGCCCCCTAAGGTTCTACTCTCTGCAACTACATTTCCACATGTATGGACTATGAATTACATTCATGAAGTTAATGTGGTATTCAACTCCCATTTCCACTTAATTGCCTGATTTGCCCCCTCCCCACTTTGGTGACCACTTAAAAATGCATTCTGCACTCAATTTAATGATGTCAGCTCCTTCCCTTGTATTGCATATCCGTAATAAACACATCTGCTATATAATAATATTTTCATGAGTTAGGGTATGAGAGAACTCACATTAATGAATCAATGGACCTAGGCTTTATAAAGATGGCAATGGGATAGAGTTGTGCTACTTGTAGTCGTTTTATGGCATTCCCCGACACGTCCAGTATGCAGTGTTTACCCTGCTGACAGAGGAAAGAGACAGTTTATACACTGTATACAGTATACACTGCGTGTACAAAACATTAAGAACACCTTCCTAATATTGAGTTGTATGTGCCATACAGAAGTTGAATGGGCAAGACAAAATATTTAAGTGCCTTTGAACAGGGTATGGTAGTAGGTGCCAGGCGCACCGGTTTGTGTCAAGAACTGCAACAAAGGGGGTGCACCCTTTGTCCTCAGAACAGCCACAAGGTGTCGAAAGCGTTCCACAGGGATATGTTGAGCGTGAAAAACCCAGCAATGTTGCAGTTCTTGACACAAACCGGTGCGCCTGGCACCTACTACCATACCCTGTTCAAAGGCACTTAAATAGTTTGTCTTGCCCATTCAACTTCTGTATGGCACATACACAATCCATGTCTCAACTGTCTCAAGGCTTAAAAATCCTTCTTTAACCTGTCCCCTCCCCTTCATCTACACTGATTGAAGTGGATTTAACAAGTGATATCAATAAGGGATCATAGCTTTCACCTGGTCAGTCTGTCATGGAAAGAGCAGGTGACCTTAATGTTTTTTATAAACTGGGTGGTTCGAGCCCTGAATGGCTGACAGCCGTGGTATTTCAGACCGTATACCATGGGTATAACAAAACATTTATTTTTACTGCTGTAATTATGTTGGTAACCAGTATATAATAGCAATAAGGCACCTCGGGGGTTTGTGGTACATGGCCAATATACCACGGATAAGGGCTATATCCAGGCACTCCGCTTTGCGTCGTGTTTAAGAACAGCCCTTAGCCGTGGTATATTGGCCATATACCACACCCCCTCGTGCCTTATTGCTTAAGTATACTCAGTGTATATCGTTGAATTCACATAATGTCCTTGATTGAGTCAAATGACTGTTTCTAAACAAAGTACTTTATTAGAAGGGGGGTATACAGTGGGGGGAAAAAGTATTTAGTCAGCCACCAATTGTGCAAGTTCTCCCACTTAAAAAGATGAGAGAGGCCTGTAATTTTCATCATAGGTACACGTCAACTATGACAGACAAAATGAGAAAAAATTATCCAGAAAATCACATTGTAGGATTTTTAATGAATTTATTTGCAAATTATGGTGGAAAATAAGTATTTGGTCAATAACAAAAGTTTCTCAATACTTTGTTATATACCCTTTGTTGGCAATGACACAGGTCAAAAGTTTTCTGTAAGTCTTCACAAGGTTTTCACACACTGTTGCTGGTATTTTGGCCCATTCCTCCATGCAGATCTCCTCTAGAGCAGTGATGTTTTGGGGCTGTCGCTGGGCAACACAGACTTTCAACTCCCTCCAAAGGTTTTCTATGGGGTTGAGATCTGGAGACTGGCTAGGCCACTCCAGGACCTTGAAATGCTTCTTACGAAGCCACTCCTTCGTTGCCCGGGCGGTGTGTTTGGGATCATTGTCATGCTGAAAGACCCAGCCACGTTTCATCTTCAATGCCCTTGCTGATGGAAGGAGGTTTTCACTCAAAATCTCACGATACATGGCTCCATTCATTCTTTCCTTTACACGGATCAGTCGTCCTGGTCCCTTTGCAGAAAAACAGCCCCAAAGCATGATGTTTCCACCCCCATGCTTCACAGTAGGTATGGTGTTCTTTGGATGCAACTCAGCATTCTTTGTCCTCCAAACACGACGAGTTGAGTTTTTACCAAAAAGTTCTATTTTGGTTTAATCTGACCATATGACATTCTCCCAATCCTCTTCTGGATCATCCAAATGCACTCTAGCAAACTTCAGACGGGCCTGGACATGTACTGGCTTAAGCAGGGGGACACGTCTGGCACTGCAGGATTTGAGTCCCTGGCGGCGTAGTGTGTTACTGATGGTAGGCTTTGTTACTTTGGTCCCAGCTCTCTGCAGGTCATTCACTAGGTCCCCCCGTGTGGTTCTGGGATTTTTGCTCACCGTTCTTGTGATCATTTTGACCCCACGGGGTGAGATCTTGCGTGGAGCCCCAGATCGAGGGAGATTATCAGTGGTCTTGTATGTCTTCCATTTCCTAATAATTGCTCCCACAGTTGATTTCTTCAAACCAAGCTGCTTACCTATTGCAGATTCAGTCTTCCCAGCCTGGTGCAGGTCTACAATTTTGTTTCTGGTGTCCTTTGACAGCTCTTTGGTCTTGGCCATAGTGGAGTTTGGAGTGTGACTGTTTGAGGTTGTGGACAGGTGTCTTTTATACTGATAACAAGTTCAAACAGGTGCCATTAATACAGGTAACGAGTGGAGGACAGAGGAGCCTCTTAAAGAAGAAGTTACAGGTCTGTGAGAGCCAGAAATCTTGCTTGTTTGTAGGTGACAAAATACTTATTTTCCACCATAATTTGCAAATAAATTCATTAAAAATCCTACAATGTGATTTTCTGGAATTTTTTTCCTCAATTTGTCGGTCATAGTTGACGTGTACCTATGATGAAAATTACAGGCCTCTCTCATCTTTTTAAGTGGGAGAACTGACTAAATACTTTTTTCCCCCACTGTATAGCACATAAAAAGGAATAGATACGCTTGGAGACCATGGTAATCCTTTTGGTTATTCATCCAATAAGACACACAGACACACAGACCCACATTTTAAAATTCAGAAATGTGTCTAATAAAATGAAAATCTTGGTATGATCTTTGTGTGGTTACATCACACACAAAAACACATTTTGTCTGGATTAAATTTAGATCAACACAATGCTACAACCACAGAATTAAATGGAACACGAATAGTGTTAAATATATGGAAGTGTATATTCGACCAGCAGAAGAAAAACATAAGTTAATAAATAGGGGTCAAAATGTATTAAGGTTGTGAGTAGGGTTAGGTTTAGGAATTAGGAATTACGTTAAGGTTAGATATAGTTTCAGTGAAGTTAATTAACACCGATAGCGCTTTTGTGCAGAATAGTACGCAAAAGTTCAACATTCACCTTCTGCTACCATTTCAGTCAAGCCGTCTACACATACAGTTTGACGCATACGTATGCACCACATAGAACGCACTGCAACTGCCTCTGCAACGCGCACTGCAAATGCCTCTGCAACACAATGCTGCAAGGCAAACGCAGCGTTCCATTGGAAATTAATGTATTTCTGGTGTACCAAATAGTACCCAATAGTATGCAGTGTACCAAATAGTACCCAATAGTATGCAGCATCATCTAGATATGTGTGCAACAAAAGTTCAACATTCACCTTCTGCTACCATTTCTGTCAACCTGGTTACGCATACAGTTTGACGCATACGTTCGATAAATCCAACATATGCACCACACAGAACGCACTGCAACTGCCTCTGCAACGCAATGCTGCAAGGCAAACGCAGCGTTCCATTGTAAATGAATGTACTTCTGGTGTACCAAAACGCAAGACCCAGTCGGTGTGTTCGAAGCGTTAGGAAAAGGCATAAAAGTTAACATTGGATTAGCGCACTGCCGTCTGCCGCCATTCATTTTCTGCCTGTCGAATATACACTGCCTAAATACAGTATATATCAATGACTATGACAGTGACACTCACCCTCTCAGCCACATATTTGACCGACTGAACACTGGTTCCATATAGATTGTCGTTGTACTGGCCCGCCTCAATGAACTTGTGCTCTTGGATGTCCTGCTCCATCTGCTCTCTGGACATTACAAAATGGTAGTCCCGCCCATCGACCTCGTAGTCCCGCCTCGATCGAGTGGTGTCTTTGGTGCAAGAGGAGAAGGCAATAAGGTAAAGAATACAGAAAGTACAATGTAAAGGGAGGAAACTGTTTAACTGAATGTGCAACTTATTGAGAAGCGAGTTATAGAGGGGGCAGCGTGTAGAGTGATTGGTTTAACAACTTATCACAGAAGAGCCATTATAGCTCGATTGAAATTTAAAAGCAATGTTCCCGCGTTCGCGGAGACTGCATTCATGGTAAACACTGCATATGTCGCCTCAATCGGAAATTACCTTTACATTTTAACACGGATCTTCCGCAATACTTTCATGATACGGATTGGATCCAGCCCAATAGTCACTCACTGAGTCCTTGAAACCCTCATTATCATCATAGATAAACATCAAGGGCATGTTTAATCAAATTTATAGGGCGATGTGTCTCGAAAAAATCAGACGGCTTCGACAACAGTCCATCGGATGACAACAAAGCAATATCTTTCTCAAATCTTAGGAAAACACACACAGCTTAATTCAACCACTGTGAAATTAAGGACTTTAAACAATAAGGAGAAAAAAGTTGATCACAAGGCGACATTTGCTGTTGCTGGTTTACAATTTGTGACCCTAATACCTTTTATTTACATTATAGTTACATAGGTAGGTACAGTGTGACTACAGTATAGATACAGTACATAAACACAACTGTTATACTTGTTTGTGTAAACAAACTAATTAATTGTGCACTGTTAGAAGAAAATGTTTCAAAATAGCATGATTGTGTTTTGAAACCATAAAAAGTAGTGCACCTAAGCTGAGATCTGGTGTTTGCAGGGTGATTGAATGTAAACCCAGTCTAAGTGTTATGATACTGTAAATTGACTTTTTGTTCAATATTAATTTTGGTATACGTGCTACAGTAAATGTGTAAAATAGGGAAATCTAGCGGTTCCCCAGAAAATCTTGTAAAAAATGTGTAGATTTCCCGGAGAATCTATAGATATACAAATGAGAAGGGAAATCTACCCATTCCCCACAATTCATCTGTAGATCTCCTGGTAGCTGTGTATAGAGAGGCATTTGGAGTATTTTTAAATGTCAATACTGCTACTTCTCTAAGTCCATTTTGAATAAACTACTTACAACAGCGTTGAACTTATTCTACTTCCTGTCACTACATTGTATTTACCAATAACTTAGTTGCTGGTATACAGAATGTAGTGTAACTAAGGGGCTCACTTACCTGGCTGCCCTGAACTGTTAGCCGCTTTACATGGTTTTAAAAATAGATGGAATAAAAAGATAAGTAAATTAAAACAAACAAAATCAAAACAATGACGATCAAAATAAAAATATGACATCATCAAGACAGTGGTGTGGACAGTTCTTTGAAATATACAATAGTATCAAATACTATCGTTATACTTAAAAACTGTATTTAAAAGGGCATATTACTCAAACAATTGTTTTTAAATACAGTGCATTCGGAAAGTATTCAGACCCCTTGACTTTTTTCACATTTTGTTACGTTACAACCTTATTCTAAAAATGATTCAATAGTTTTTTCCCCTCATCAATCTACACACAATACCCCATAATGACAAAGCAAAAACAGGTTTTTAGAAATGTTTGCAAATGTATTAAAAATAGAAAACTGAAATATCAAATTGACATAAGTATTCAGACCTTTACTCAGTACTTTGTTTACAGCCTAGAGTATTCTTGGGTATGACGCTACAAGCTTGGCACACATGTATTTGGGGAGTTTCTCCCATTCTTCTCTGCAGATCCTCTCAAGCTCTGTCAGGTTGGATGGGGAGCGTCGCTGCACAGCTATTTTCAGTTCTCTCCAGAGATGGTCGATCGTGTTCAAGTCCGGGCTCTGACTGGGCCACTAAAGGCGTTGTCTTGGCTGTGTGCTTAGGGTTGTTGTCCTGTTGGAAGGTGAACCTTCGCCCCAGTCTGAGGTCCTGAGCGCTCTAGAGCAGGTTTTCATCAAAGATCTCTCTGTACTTTGCTCCGTTCATCTTTCCCTTAATCCTGACTAGTCTCCCAGTACCTGCCGCTGAAAAACATCCCCACAGCATGATGCTACCACCACCATGCTTCACCGTAGGGATGGTGCCAGGTTTCCTCCAGACGTGACGCTTGAAATTCAGGCCAAAGAGTTCAATCTTTGTTTCATCAGGCCAGATAATCTTGTTTCTCATGGTCTGAGAGTCCTTTAGGTGCCTTTTGGCAAACTCCAAGCAGGCTGTCATGTGCCTTTTACTGAGGAGTGGCTTCCGTCTGGCCACTCTACCATAAAGGCCTGATTGGTGGAGTGCTGCAGAGATGGTTGTCCTTCTAAAAGGTTCTCCCATCTCCACAGAAGAACTCTGGAGCTCTGTCAGAGAGCCCATCGGGTTCTTGGTCACCTCCCTGACCAAGGCCCTTCTACCCCGATTGCTCAGTTTGGCCGGGTGGCTAGCTCTAGGAAGAGTCTTGATGGTTCCAAACTTCTTCCATTTAAGAATGATGGAGGTAACTTTGTTCTTGGGGACCTCCAATGCTGCAGACATTTTTTGGTACCTTTCCCCAGATCGGTGCCTCGACACAATCCTGTCTTGGCGCTCTACGGACAATTCCTTCGACCTCATGGCTTGGTTTTTGCTCTGACATGCACTGTCAACTGTGGGACCTTATATAGACAGGTGTGTGCCTTTCCAAATCATGTCCAATCAATTGAATTTACCACAGGTGGACTCCAATCAAGTTGTAGAGCATCTCAAGGATGATCAATGGAAACAGGATGCACCTGAGCTCAATATCGAGTTTCATAGCAAAGGGTCTGAATACTTATGTAAATAACGTATTTCTGTTTTTGTTTTTTTATACATTTGCAAACATTTCTGTTTTTGCTTTGTCATTATGGGGTATTCTGTGTTGATTGATGAGGGGAAAAAATAATTTTATCAATTTTAGAATAAGGCTGTAACGTGACAAAATGTGGAAAAGTCAAGGGGTCTGAATACTTTCCGAATGCACTCTATTCCTCACTATACCATGGCTATAGTTCATTTTTTACATGTTTTGTTTGAGCTGCTTTTGAAAGCAAAAGTCGAATTGAAAACAGTATTGGTATTGTTGAATTTGATTTTCATAATAGCAAGCTAGGACTGATAGTTTGGTTAGCTAAACTAGCGCATCTGTTTGTTTGGTTACCATGGCAACTACTGTAACTATCTAGTAAACTTGCTAGCTACCTCAGTGGAGGTTGAACATATTTCTACCAGTAATTGAACACATTTCTATTGGCAAATCTGTTAAATTATAGCCATGATATAAAAGGGATAATCAACTCGGGGCTCTATGCGTTCTCTGGAAAATAATGCAACTCTGTGGAAGGTCAGTTCCACTCCGCCAGCGCGTTGTGGAACCCACATTTTTACATTTTAGTCATTTAGCAGACGCTCTTATCCAGAGCGACTTACAGTTAGTGAGTGCATACATTTTTCATACTGGCCCCCCGTCAGAATCAAACCCACAACCCTGGCGTTGCAAGCGCCATGCTCTACCAACTGAGCTACACGGGGCTACACCTTCCACGTCGTTCATTATTTTCCATAGAACGCATAGCCCCTCATTGATTATCCCTTACTTAGTCCACTTTTAATACAGTCCCAAAAATCCACGTTTTCAAGATTATTTTCATTAAATTACGTTCAGTTTTCTGATTCCCAAAATCAAACAGGAGCAAAAACTCTCATGAAGATCCAAAACTTTTCCAGGAATTAATCATAGGCCTGCTATGAGGCTTGGATTGTGAGACCATATTAATGGTGTACTGATGAGAAATGCCAGAAGCACTCTACTGTCCTTGAACCTTTGAACTTAGTAGTATGGTCACACTATCTTTCAGACTGGGCTACAACAGTGATAAAAAAAACATCCAAAACCCCAAATCCTGTTGCCTGTAAAACAAAATCCACATGTATTTGATTTGTTGCCATAGCTTTTGTTGGGTTATGCCTTTCTTCAGTTGGCCATTAAAAAATAAACAACTTCCATTGATTATTAGCTAGCTGTGGCAAAAGTTAGCTGAAGTTTGTAGTAATTGTTTCAAGCAAAATCGAACCATAGACTACTTTCAGCGTGAGGAGACATTTAACGTCATGTTCTAAAAATCTGAACTTTAATGGTTCAATGGAATTGCACATGTGAATAGCAGGGTATAATAAAATCCTACATTATTATTGCCATCAAGAAATCATCTCTGGATAATTTAACCAAGTATGTATAATACAAAGCAAAGAACCCAACAAAACATGTAAGGGGGGAAAACGTATAGATTTTTGGTGAGAAATTAGGAAAAATTATGAATCAAACACTATAACGACATAACAAATGAAGGAGATGGGTATCAAATAAAACCACAATGGTATATTGGCAGCACAGTGGAATTTATTAGGGAGAGCTAATCACAAGGGCACATGATCACACAATGTATTATTGATGCAGCAACTGTGTCCACCCTGAGACAGCCTGGAAGACTGACTCCTGGGGCAATATGTATCAAGCGTCTCAGAGTAGGAGTGCTGATCTAGGATCAGGTCCTCTCTGTCTATGAAATCTTATCCATTTTTATCTAAGTGGCTAAACTGATCTTAAATCAGTGCTCTTACTCTGAGAAGCTGTATACATACGGCCTCTGGTCTTCTTGTGAAGGTAGAGGGACTTACGTGGCACGCAGGAGCCAAATTTGTCAGGGAATTCTGATATCAGGTCGTCGTTGATTCTGTCTTTCATTGGTCCAAGGATTATGACGGGTCTGGCGTAATTAACTGAAAGATAAAATGTGTCAATCGACTAATTTACAGACATAAGAGGCTATAACTGTGCACTTAGCATTAGTCTCCACAGTAAATGTGGGCAAGCAATTTCACTACAATACCCATTGTCACGCTATATCTGAGCAAGCCAATGCGTGCTAGTGCCAGAGAGGT